AGCTGGCTCCTTCCTGAGACACTTCTCAATTTTTCCTTCCAGCTTCTTGGCTGTTTGTCTCCCCCAGGGATCTGTTCTGTTCCCTCCCCTCTTCTCTTTCTATGATCTTCTACTAAACAAGTTCACGCTGTTCCATGACTTCAAATGTCCTTTTAATGCTGATGACTTTCAAATGTCTGTCTCCAGCTGGAGTATTTATTGTCCCTGAACTCCAGACTCATATCCAAATATCTCTTAACTTCTTCACTGAGATGTTTTAAAAATATCATAAGCTTACATGACCAAAACTTCCCTCCCCAAATCTTTTCCTATTTCATTAAAGGGTATCCCAGGCCCAAATCCTGGTGTCACCTGGATTCCTTCCTTTCCTTTGTTGGCTGCATCCAGGTCTCTGTAAGTCCTGTTGGCTCTACCAACCAAATATATCCTAACTCCATCGGTTTCTCATCACCTCCCTGCTACATCTTGCATCCCAACCACCATCTTCTCTCACCAAGAGAGAGGAACTGCTCCTCCTATACTCAAATGTCCACACCACAGACTGAGTAATCTTTCTAAATGCATACATCACATCATGCCACTCCCCCCACCCCACCCCACATGTTATCCCATTACTCTTAAAATAAAATCTGAATTCTTTGCTGTGGCCGCAAGGCTCTGCTTGATCTGGACACATCTTCTTCCACGACCTCAACTCCTTCTACTCAACTCCTCTGTACTCTGACCACATTGGCCTGCTGTTCGTGGATCATCACAGTTTCTCCTAACAACCTTTGTAGTTTTTTTGGGGTTTTTTTTGTTGTTGTTGTTTTGTTTTGTTTTGTTATGTTTTAAGTAGGCTCCCTGCCCAGTGTGGAGCCCAGTGCAGGGCTTGAACTCATGACCCTGAGATCAAGACCTGAGCTTAGATCAAGAGTCAGACACTTAACCGACTGAGCCACCCAGGCACCCCTATAGGTCTTTCTACTTGGAACACTCTTCCCCCAAGTATTCATGTGGCTGCTCCCTCGGTAGATTGTCTATCTCTCTGTGTTGGAATATAAATTCCTTGAGGGTGAAGCTCCTGCTGATTTTGCTCACTGTTTTATCTCCAGCATCTTGAACGATCCATGGAATATAGTAAGTGTTTAATCAGTACTTAACAGCCTGACTCTCTCTTCTAAAATTTTCCTTGCTTCCTTACTGCTTTCAGGGTGGGCATTCTGCCTTAGCTGGGCAATTCAAAGGCCACAACAATTAAGCCACCCTAACCCTCAAGTTTTATTTACTTCTACTATTCAAAGCCAACTCTCTTCCAGGGTGAGAACGCTTTTTGGATGATATCTTTGCTCAGTCTGTTTCCTCTGCCTATAGTGCCCTCACTGTATCACTCCTTCTGTTTAAACTTCTAGCAAAGCCCAGCTTGAGAACCACCAGGGCTTGGTGGACTCTCCTAGAACACACCTGCCCACAGCAATTTCTCCCAATTCCAAACTCCAACTGCTCTTACATGTGCTCCTCTTACAAAGCACTGTACTGAACTATTGGCATCTTTTAATGGTTGATCCTGTGTCTCCAGTTAAATAGATAAACCCAAAACAGAGAATTGGTTGTAAAATGTTTTGAATCCTTCATAGAGTGACTCATAGATTGTAGGAAGGCATTCAATGTTTGTACATAGATATAATTCTTGTTCTAATGCTGCAATTGGGATAGTCTAATAGCAGCCAGATTCCAGATGCTGTGCCAAATGTTTTAATATCTGGCTTATCTTTCCTGAGGACACTTGACAGATATGATTTCATGATTATCCTTTTCTTAATCCTACAGTGGCCTCCAGTCTGTATTTCTGCATTATTACCCTCAAAGGTTTATTTTTCTAATCATTTTTCTTACTCCAATTATGTTCTACTTTTTAAAATTCAGAATCTGAAATTTTAACAAAATTATAACTAAAGAAGGTAAATGCAATAATAAAATGGCGTATATAAAGTACCTAACATTAGACTTGGTATGCATTGGGAGATCAATAATGACAGCTATAAATTATAGGTTCTTTTCAGATGAATTCTACTTACATCGCATGGTGTTGTGCATGATTGTAATTTATAATAATTAAAAAACTTTATTGACAATGTGTGTGCTTCTATGTACAGGGAAGCTTCTGTGCTCTCCGTTCTATGGGGGGAAACAAGAGAAGGCAAGGTTCTCACCATCCCTCTCTGAGCTGCCATCTACTTGGAGTCAAGTCTGATGGCGATGAAACAGGGGTGATAAGGGGACACACATTACCAAGGGTCAAACTGAGTCCTAATAACCACAATGCTTCAATATTTTATGGAGTCGATGTCCATTATTTTATTTGCCTCTCCTATCCCTGCAAAATAAGTGCTATTATCCTTACTCCACAGATAAAGGAACTAAAGCTCCAAGAGGTGAATTCCCCCTTCCTAAGTGACAGAGCTTGGGTTGAAATTCATTATTTTGGATTCAGGTTCAGTGCTCTTTGCAATACAGTTTTCATGTTTTCCCTTACTCATTCTTTCACTTGTTTTGTCATACATTCAGCAACTATTTGTTTGGTAGCAACCATATATCATGCACTGTGCTAGGTGCTTGGGATAAAAGGCAGTAAGGTACTGCCCTTGTCTAGAACATAGACAATAGGCAGAAACAGTATGTATTAAAGAAATTCACAAAAGAAATTCCTAAGGGCTGGTTCAAGAAATACTGTCGCAATGAACCAGCTCCCTATTCAATTCTCATCCCCCCCTCCATGGAAGGCTGGAATTTTTGTTCATTGTCCCTATTATTCTCTATATACTTAGAGAGCAATAGTATCTCTTGTTGCTTTTTTCAAACCCAGGGACACTGAGATGAGGAAAGATTGGATGGCTTACAAACTATCATGCACATCAGCATGCAAAGCTTGTGATGGTAGGAGTGCTCCTCTCCTCACCCCAAGTATAGTCTGTGGACGTACTTTACTCAGCACCACTGATATGCTCCGGGTATATTGAGCTGACTGATAGTTTGCAAACAGAAGCTTATATAAATACAGTAGGAGAGCCTGCTATTTAAAGGAATCTTCAGATGAATCTTTTAAATTACTATTGTCTTTCTTACTATCGGGTCCCAACCATGTTTCTTTAAAAAAAAAAAAAAAACTCTCCTTTTTCTCTATTTCCTTGCTTCTTAGTTACTTCTCAAACACTTTGAATTCTGATTCAGCCTTTTTGAAACCATCCTTGTTATGGGCATTAGCTGAAAAATCCATTGGACTTCCAGTCTTTATCTTACTTGAAGTTCCTTCCACATCTCACACTCCTGTTTTATTGAAATTCTGGGATGTCACATTATCTTGTTGATGGAATCTCAACTCAACCTCTTTAGGCTTGATAGATTCATCTCTCCATCTCTTCACTAGACATTTCAACCTAAACTCATTCACTCATTTATTCATTCAATTATTCAACAAATATTTACTGGGTGCCTACTAGGTGACAGGCAAAGGACTATACTTTGAGACAAATATGATGAACAAGGCATTTACTGTCTGAAGGTGGGGAGCAAGAAATAGATATTCGCAGGCAATTCAGTGGGTCTAAAAATGAACTCATGACTTTTCTTTGCAAACGTCCCCTTTATTCTGAGTGCTCTATACCATTCAAAGCTCCTACAGTGATTCCAAAGCACTCAAGTCAGAACTTACAAGTTTTTCTCTGCTTCCCTTTTGTTCAGCCACAGATTCTTGGCTGAGTCCCTTCAAGCCTATGTCACGAGGTTCTCTTAATCTCTTCCTTCCTCTCCATTCTCCCTGGTCCTGCCCTCGCTCGGATCCTCACCATCTCTTGCCTAGTTTACCATGTAATGTCCAAAATGTCCTCTTCACCTCTGGCCTGAGCCCAGCCATCCCCTGCCCCACCCTACTCCAGCCATACTTCTCTTACCGTGAGAGAAACCGTTCTAAATCCAGATTTCAATCAGACATTTCTCCGCTAAAAATCTCTTTAAGAGTTCCCTCTCCTTTCAGAAAAAGTCCAAACACCTTCTTATATACATCAGAGGTCCTTCTGGCTGGGCTCCTGCCCACTTTCCAGCCTCACTTCCTGCTGTGCCTCCCCAGCCATCCCCACTGCCCCCCCCGCCACATCCTACACTCCCGCGACAAATAACAGAATTTCTCAGATGCTGCGTGAAAATGAAGTGCAAATATTCCGTCCTTTGGGAAGCCATTTCCAACATCCTTCCTTGGGCAGGGTTTATCCATTACCTTCTCCTTTAGTCACCACTGCACATTATACACCATAATTAGTATGGCGACCAATTATTGAGCATTTACCAATTCTGACTTCATGCTAGACACAGAGGCAATAAGGATGCCGTGTTTAAGGACAGGAGCTTTGCAGATCGCAAGACTGGTTCAAGTCCCAAGCTGTCATTTGTTTAGCCAAGTGATCTAGGGCAAGTTGCTGACACTGCACTTCTTCATCTGTGATATGGGGATAATAAAAACCCTTTCATTGAGTGTTGTAAGGATTAATGAGACTATGGACAAAAAATGCTTAGCCTAGTATCTGTTACATGATAAGCTATTATTAAGTTGAAATCATAATTATTGTTATTGGACTTCTGATATATATCATGGAGAATTTGCCCCCAGCCCTAAGGTTTTATCTCCATTTCACAACTAAGGTTAGACTGCTTTACGAAAATCATATAATTAGAAAGCAGTAAAAGTTTAGAGTTTAAGTCCACACCACAAAACACCATTCTAGCCCTTATGACCTTGTGTGAGATGTATTTACTGTGTACCCAGCTTCGGCACCTGGATCGGAAGCTCCCTAAGGGCAGACCTTGCCATATTGGTATGTCGCATAGGAGAAGTTTAAGAATGAATGAACAAATGAATGTTTCAGCCAAGGCAGACCGGTGGCTGTGAGATCTCAGTCCTGGGAGAGGGGAGGAGTGGCTGGTATGGTCACGGTGGCAAGGGAACTAGAGGCTCCAGGATCACTCACTCATTGCTTCTATCTGCACATGGATGAGGTTCTCGATGTCCTCCTGCAGGGTCTGATGGGGCTTCAGGGGGATGGGCAGGTAGCCATAGTGCTCTCGGTTGCAGAGGTACATCTGGATGCCTGAGGACCCAAGAGAGCAACAAAAGCAACCAGTCAGAAAACATAGTTCTTGGTTCCCTATAGACAACTAAGGGAAAAAAAAAATGCTTGGACCGTGGCTGAAGCTGAGTTTGGCACTGAAACCGAACAGTAGTTGTTTCAGACGCTGTCTGTAGACCTCAAAAATGCTCTTTATTAAGAAAATTTAACACAGCGTTGGGGGCTAATAAAAACCGTGGGCCATTCTTCAGCTCAGAGGAAATTGATTTTTTTTCTTTCCAAAGAAAAAGCATACTCGTGGTCTGAAATGAACACTAAAGGCTTGAAGGAATCAAAAGGAGGCAAGGAATTCCCATTCCAGAGAACAGAATGGAACACTGTAATCCGCCTACAGGAAATAACAAGAAAATGAGGAATAAAATGCACATTTGATATGAAAGCAAACAGGAAAATCCTGTGAGGCTGACAGATTATTAAAGCTAAATCTAGGCATAGGGAGAACAAAAAACAAAGGAAATTTAGAATTCTCCATGGCTCTCCATGGTTTTATTTCTTCTCTTAGCAGGCATGAATTTGGAGTCAACCAACAGACGTGAAACTTGTATAACAGATTCATAAAGGGACAAAAGAGTCTGCATTTCAAGTCCTGGTAAGAACCTTCAGTGTGACAATACCAGAAAAATGCCCCGCCCTCTTGTATTCAACACTGGGTTTCCAAGGCCCCAGATGGCTAACTCCAAGAGTTGTACAGCATCTCTGTTTAGCCAGACAGCTAGGACTATAGGAATCAGATGGTCTCATAGAGATCCAACAATTGACAGTCCCACCTAAAGAAAAGATTAATGAAATTAATGGGATTAATTTATAGGATTAATGAATTAATCCTAATGAAAAGGATGAGTCTGCCAAGCACTGGTCCATGGGTCCAAGCTTCTGACTGGTTAATTGCTGTACTCATCTATGCTTTCCAGAAACAGAATTACCTGCAGAGTGACTTCTCTATGTTGTGCAGATGAAATTTCCTCCAGTCAGCTCTATCACCTGCCAAATCAGGTGAACCTGTCTCACGGCATTAACAGAGAAGAGCGGGGGAAAGAAAAGGGCCTTTATCCTCCTTTTTGCTGAATCTGGCTCAAACCAGGGCTGGTCCAGCATGCGCTGTCCCTTCTCTTGCTTGACCAAGTGAACTCACTAACTCTGCTGTTTGCCTACACGATCCTTCAGCAGAACTTCGAACCAAAACGTAGCCTCTTGCAAAGTCATGATGCAATCAGAAAATGGAAGGAAAGTGATTTCATGTTTCGGTTGCCTCTCGATCGTAATTAGGTAAATCATTTTACCATTCACCTTTCCAAAGCGTCAGTAAAAAGGGGAGATGAGACTTAGCCAAGGTGTCCAACAAATGTGGAGGGACAAGAAGGGCATTTTCACACATGCAAGGTCATAAGTATTTACTTACCATCGCACTTTCTCAAAAAGTGACTGGATGACGCGGGAGAAAGAGAAGGGGAAGGAGTAAGGGGAAGGAGAAGAGGAGGGGGCGGGTCACAGAAAACAAGGGAGACCTGAAACATAATTGACAGGGGCGTCCATGTGGGCGGGAGGGAGGGAGGAGAAGGGCATCCCGGTTTGGGGTCAATAGGTGTGGCACCACTCGGATGCAAGTACATCGGAAGGCTCCAGGAGAGACAGCTTCACAAACGTGCAAAAAGAACATCTGAAAAATTGGACCATTCTAAGAGAGGTTTTAGACAACTAGGGCTTAGTTTGAGATTGTATTTGGAGTAATAAAACTAAGCAAAAAAAAGGGGGGGGGCATTTTTAAGTTGAATATGGAAGGCAAACTAACCATAGTCTATAAGTGGCTCAGCCTGGAATTAGGTTCGTATAACTCGAACAACAAAAGCACTGGCCATGATCTATCTTAAATCACCATGTAATTCTATCAAGAGGGCAGGGTATTGGGAAGACCGTGTTTGCACTGACGGAGCAAAGGGAGGGGAGAGAGCTAACTCCTCATCTTCCGCAGTGGACACTCAATAGATAATGCCTCAAGCAAAACCAGAGAATCAAGAAGTAGCAACACGAGCATATTATTTAGAAGCACGGATATAATATTACACGTCTACCATCATCTGTTAGAGTTAAAAGTGTCTGTCTTCTAGAAGAGGGAAATGAGGTACAAGGGGGTGATGTGTAGGGGACTTCTAATTTTATAATAAATCTTGGAGGACTCTTTGAACTCTTTCAACTACGTACATGGATAATTTGTTAAAAACATAAACATTTTAAAAGGAAATGTGTTGATCATTAGTTAAAATCTATAAAGGAAACTGGTACTCTCAATGAAACCTACTTCTGGAGAAAACAATTTTCTTTCCCTTTGGAAAAGATTGGTAAATGAAACTATACCTCAAAGCTCTGTACTTGTCTTGTGAAAATATCCGACATTTCCTTGTTCTCACATAGTACCTTAACAAGGCAAATTGATATGCTTATTTTTATCCTTGATGATGACAAATCAGATTCAGGAGGGCTATGACTTGTCCAAGGTCACACAGTAAGTCATTAGCATGAAACCTTTGTCCCTAAAGAGCCAAAGCCAAGTATTTTCTTATCTGCCCAGGGTTCCAAAGCCAAGTCTCAGAACCAGTAATAATTCGGAGTTGCCATTCTCACACATGGGAGGCACTTTGATTACTACCAGTGCCATGTAGGAGGCAGATCTGCCTGCCCGTCACCCACATTGCTTGCCTTTTTTGACTCAACAGCAGACATTCGGAAGATGACTGGCCGGCGCCAGAGATGGCTCCTGTGGATACAGAGCCGACATCCCTGGCCACAATGGGAAGTGAACTCCTGACCTTGGCTTCATTATAGCCTCAGAGACTTGCCTATGACCCTGTGTTCTCCTCGGGGGCTAGCTCAGCAGCCACACCCCAGTGCGCCAGCACACTTGGATTGCCCCTCTCACTCATCAACCCTCATGTGGCAATGACTGGAGTCCGAGGTGAAAGGTTAAGGATCAAGGTCTGTGGTGAGACGGTCCTGCCGGGTATCTGCAGACCCTTAATTGCCTGTTGGACATTTAACAAATGATGCTTCAGTGGAGGAAACACAGCTAGGGAGATTCACAGAGTGAGAACAAGAGAACGCAAATCATCTTTCATCAAGGGAGAAGGGGAGTGCTTTGCTTTGGATCTCCAAATCTTCCATGGGCTGCACAGGACTCCCAGGCTCATTCTTGTCTCTCCTGGAAATACTTCAAGAGAAGTTCAAGTGCCACCTTGGAGCCACAGGGCTCTTAGAAAAGCTCTTTCATTTTCCCCAAATGACAGTGATTCTTTCCTGCTTGCCCCCTGATGGGTGCATGGTTTATACCACCGGTGTGACCCTCAGCTTTCCCTGCTTCACAACTACTACTCACGTTTCCACATGCAAAGACCTCTCCAAGTAACACGGAACCTAACACGATGCCAGGCAGGAAGGCAAGGCCTAGAATATTGATTCCCTCTCCTTTCTTTTCTACCTCTTCTCTCCCCAGTTGAATCACCAAACAGCTTTGGGCCTATCCATCTGTTTGCAATGTCCTGGGAAAGCCTATGGGAGTCTGACCCATAAAAAATGAAGTCTGAGTGGACAGGCCAAGGAAAGGACAGAGCTGAAAAATTCCTATCCAGCCTGTGTCACTCTTCCAGCCCCAAATCCAGTTCTTCGTTTAAAAAAATATATTCTAATAATTGAGTGCATGGGTCACAATAATACCTTATGCACTGACTATCAGAGAGGACTCTGTTAGGCAAGGACCATTACCGTAATTGTGAATAGTTCACTTTCTTGGAACATCCTTACTGCAGGCTTGGAAGCAAAGGGACTGGCACGACCCAAAGGAATGACAAGGCCCCGGGTCTGCTTCTCATCCTGGAGAAGTCAGAGCAAATCACAGACCGAGTTAAAAGAAACTCCCAATCCAGATGAGGATAGGAACCCTGCTTTTGCCCTGACACGGGGCTCAAGAATGCCTACACCTGGCCCAAGGGTCTAAATGGCTCTAGCAGCCAAGGAAAAATAATCAGCCTTCCATATTTCCACCAAATATTCTCATTCCTACCAAGTCTACAACTGATGAGTGGGACACCAATGGCTTTAGAGATGGCCTGCTGTGTGAGCTGTACCTTGAGTTTGTATTAACATTCTCACCTGCCAGCAATTTGCCTCAGCTGCCTGGTCTCAGCTCCACTATGTATACGGCCACATGAGTTTATTCACCATGTGCTTGGTTTCTGAGCTCACTTTTGCTAGTGGTGAAATGACATGTTTCTGGCTCATGGATAATGGGACCTGACTTCTCTCAGGAAGGTCTGAATGATCTTGAGAATACAGCTTTGCTTTAGGAATGTCATGTATCTTCCTGCTGAATTGCCATAGTGAATGAAAGCCTCCCTGATGGCATGTGCAAGGTGACACAAGAGAAATCACTTACCCTCCTACTGACTCGTCTTCCTCAAAAAGCCTACGGGCCCCACCGGAAACGCTTCCCCGTGGTTCTTGAAAGGCTCTGGCTCTGCCTTTCTTTGCATGGGGACTGTGGCAGAGACTGCTGGTTGCCTCCCTAGATCTGTCCCCTCCTCCTTTAGAGTAAGAGAACTGGGGCTCTAGACTGCAGAGAATAAAGAGCACATTTTGAGCCCTGCTTCCAGCTACGAGTTGACCTGTGACTAAATTCTGGCTAAGGGGATATGCATGGAAGTGACATGTTCAAGTCCTAAAATGAAGGAGTGCCCTTCCCTCTCCAGCATTTACTCATTGGCTAGAATGCATCCATACTGATGAGATGTCTTGGGTCATCCAATTAGGGACAATACTCATGGAGGATGAGGAAGCAACAGAGAAGGAGCCAGGGGCTCTGAAAACTTTGGGGAACAGTGTCACTCTGCCAGCTCAGACTTTTTTAAGAAGAGATAAACTTCTATTTTTAAAGTCTGGGGTCTTTGCCAATGTTGTTTTGGGCTTCTGTCACAGTTTCCCATTAATAAAAAATTCCTATAGCGAACAAAATGATGCAGCAGCACCACAGAGAAGCAATCACCTGCTCATGGCGGCTACCACCTGCACGGTCTCCCCAGCACTCAAAAAATGGAGAGTGGATTTCTGAGGAGGGGCCAGCCCTGGCTCTGGGTCATTGATGTTCACAGGGACAGAAACAGAGGGTCCTGAATTGCAAACAATTGTCTCTAATACTACCTGAAAGAACAGGTTTATATAGGTCTGTTTTATACGAAGATGCACGAAACAGAGGACCTGGTTATTTGCAGTGTTTCCATGGTGACAGGACAACTGAACACAACCAGTACCTGCTTGCCTGCTGGAGAAGGCAAAGACGATGATGTCATCAAAGGTCCAGGTATAGTCCTGGTGCGGGGGATAGAACATCAGCTTGTCAGAGGCCTCCTTCCTGAGGTCAATTAGGAAGGTGGAGTGAACCATGGGAACGGGAAAGCAGCCCATCCGCTTCCATTCTCTGATCTGAAGGTAGTCTGGGGTGCGTTTATAGAAGCCCTGGAAAAGAGAAATAGGTGGGCTTTGTTCTCTGATCTGAGGCCTTTATCCTTCCCAGTCTTCGGCTAGGCTCCTTCCTTCTAAGCCACCGCCAGTTGAGGAGAAGTCCCCAAGCAAAGTCACTTCCGCTATTCTTATCTTGGTCTAAGAATTTCCAGCAGAGCTCAAGAAATGCTATTTGCATAGAAAATAACACTTAAAGGGTCTTGTTATCAGAAATAATTTTAGTATTAAGGAGGGCGTGTATTGCACGGAGCACTGGGTATTATACGCAAACAATGAATCATGGAACACTACATCAAAAACTAATGATGTACTGTATGGTGACTAACATAACATAATAAAATAAAATAAAATAAGAAATAATTTTGGTTTCAGCCTATCTCTGGATTTAATGATCTCATAAAAGTATATTTTATATTGATGTGTGATTGAATGTGAAGAAAAGTATTAAGAGGTGGTGGAGCAGAGAAGTTAAAAGCACAGGTTCTGGTGTCTGGCTGCCCAAATTCAAATTCTATCTCAGCAACTAATTGTCTGGAAGTACCTGTCAGGTGACTCAACTTTGCTGTGCCTATTCCCTCATCTGTAAACCAGGAATGACAGCACGGTCTACTCCATGGGGTTGCGTGAAAAAATTAGGTAAGGTAAAATCTGAAAAATGCTTAGAATAGTGCCTAGCACTAAGAAAGCATAAAAATATACTGGCTAATACTAAAATTACTACCTTATCTGGCTAATATTTTTAATGAAATCTGTAGTACTTAAACATACAAAGAGGGTCCTTCAGTGCAGTTACTTATTCAATATTCTGGTGAAGGTGCCCCCACTGCTCCACACTCTTTTGGGGATTCTCCTTTAGAAAGTTCTTTCTGGATGAGCACACAGGACAACCAACCTCCTTACTCTGTGGTTTTGAACACACTGGTTTGGAATAACCCAGCTTCCCCCTGCCCCCAAACTTAACTGTTCATTCAAAAAACATCTACTGAGTCCTTGCTATATCCCAGGCACTGTGTTTAGATGCTGGAGACTTAGCAGTAAATAAGCATCCCCAGCCTTAGCCCTCACGAAGTATGGAATCCACTGGAGCTTACACTCCAGGGGCACCAATTATAACCTGACTACTGCCAAAGATCAAATCTGTTCCAGAAAAGAAGAAGATGCATGATGTATGTATGAAGATGTTAAATGTATGTGGAAGCTTTGAAATGCATTTCCAAAAATGTTCTAGGCGACAGCAGGCTCATGGAATGGGTGTGAGCCAGCACCCTGAAGGGCAGAATACTCAGTGGACAGAGAACTTCTCCCATGTTTATTGATCAGTCACCTTATTTTATGGTCACATTTTCTGTTGTGATGTCAGTGACCACACATTAGGCACTGCAGCCTCTTCTACTTCTCCGACACTTCCTTCAGGGCCCAGGTAGGTGTTCTGGCTGAGCTCACCCTAACACTGACCATGTAATAACGTAGAAGGATCACAAATTAAGAACTTAAAAGATGTGAGTGTTAGAGTCATCTTAACCTTCCTTTAACTGTTTGATCTCAGCCCATGCTTAACGGCTTTAAGCTGACTTTCTTCTCCTGAAAAATGGGATAACAGCTGATGCGTCTATCTCATGGGATTGTAGAATGGATCACATGTGATAAGGTCTATGAAGATACTTTGACAACTGTAATTCATTATATGAGGTAGTATTATTGCTACAGTGTTTTATTAGCCTTTAACTTAAGGATTGCTTAACATCCTTCAATTTATGAGCATTCTTCCAAGGGATAAAGGAAACACTGGTTCTTTGAAGGACTGCCTAAGAACGCATGTCAAATACAAAGTTCTAGACTACTTAGGAACAATATTCTCAGAATGAGAAGTTTGCAAAACTCATGATGATGAATCATTGAATATCCTGAGGGTGAGCAGAAGGAAGGTGAGAAAATGAGAGAGAAAGAGGGAGAGAGAGAGAGAGAGAGAGAGAGAGAGAGAGAGAGAGAGAATGAATATGCCTTCTGCAGACAGGCAGATGACAGATGGATCTTTTTTGACAAAAAAAAAAAAATGAATGTTGTTGATAATAAATAATTCCTGTTCTTGGCCAGACAACACCAGGGTCATTTTGTTTTGGATGTGTTTAAAGTCTCTGGAAACCAGGGCCTGCTTTTAGTTTATGAAGTCATTGGCTGTTTCTGTTCCTACCCTAGCAGAAGCCTGACTAAGAATGGTAGAAAGCCAAAAAAAGAGAGAGAAAAAATTAGAATTGCCCCTAAGTTGCTCTCTATTTTACTGTGCAAAATAAGTGAGCACATTTCTCCTGTTTGCTTTTAATGACTGAAGCAAATAAGGAGATAATAAAAACCTAGAGGCTGTAGTTACTAGGGTAATCCAGCCTTTTTCCTGATGTCAACGCATAACTCATTAAAAACAGCCCTTGAGTGGATTCTATCATGTGAAACACTGCGGATTACTAACTGAGAGTGTATGAATTTAAATGAACTTAATAAAACGTTCTCTCCCCAAGGAACTGAATGTCTTTTGTAAATATGAACTTAATGTCTCCTTAAAAGAGAGGTGGATAACATGCATTCAAGATCTCTCAGAACTGCAGGAAAAAATTGTAACCAAAGAGGAATGGCTCATCCAGCAGTGTGCTAAAGCTACTGTTTGTTAAATTTTCAGAAATTTTGCAAGCCAGTTGACATTTTGGTAGCTTAAAATCTGTTAAAAAAATCATGTTAATTCCCACCATTCTAAAATACCACAGACGGTGGCTTTGTATATTTTTTGTCATTATATCACCAAGTGGCTACACTGCAATTACTCAACTTTCCCTCAGTTCGACAGCATTTAAGTTGTTTACATGGCGAGAGTACCTACACTATTAAAGCTGGCAAATGAGACCAATCAGGGCTTTTCCCCCCACGGAGAGCCAGTTATTAAACATTTATCAGCACACCACTGGACTCATTCTGCATCCAAAACAAAACCAAATATAAAAGAGGGGCTCAAAATTTAGCCCTTTGAGCATGAGACATTTTTTCCCCTTAGCACAGCTTTATTCCATATTGATACTACACTGATCAGTTTATCTCTTTAATTTATCTAATTTATTAGCTAGAGAATTAAAAATACAATCAGCCAGAAGTATTCACTGTAACAGAGTTCTAGACTTCGAAGATTTTTACAACGGAAAAGAGATGATGGAAATTTAAAATTTTGTTTTTCACTTGAATTTTGTAAGAGCCAGCTACCATAGCAGCTCTGATTATTAGATGTCTTTGGAAATAAATTTGGCAACATATATCAAAGGTCATCAAAATATGTATACTCTTTGACTCAGTAATTCTACTTCTAAGAAGCTATCCTAAGGTCATAATATTAAATACAGAAAAATGTACATTAACCATCATGGGCATTATAATAGTTAAAAGTTGCAAGCAACTTGAATAATTTTAAACTAAGAAAAAGGTAAGTAATTTGCATTATAGCCACGTGATGATATAGTTACTAACAACATGCTGTTATCCATGATGTTAGAGTCGTGGGGAGTCACATAATTTTTTTTTTTTACTTTTTTCCATTTCCAAATTTTTCTATAGTGTTCTTATGTTTTAATACCAAAAAGGCCTTTTTTTAAAAAAATCTCAGAATCAGAGAGGAACAAAATACAAATATCAGTAAGCTTTATTGGTTAAGTTAAAGCTTCTAAGGCTAAGCTCACTAAAATATTTTCTTCATAATTCATTAATATAAAAGAACTCATTGGATTATGCATTAGATATGGATTTTCCTCCTTTCCTGAACATGCTTACTCCTGTAACACCATGACACGCACATTTCAAGGGAGGAAGTAAGGAAAAAGGTGAACGGGGCCATGGCTGACATAAGGGGTGCCTTGTTAAAACCCATAGCCTTAATCCATCAGCCAGAAGACTTGCCTGAGGTGTGATTCCGCACCAGAAATTAGAGTACAGGCCCCGAGACTCCAGCATGGGTGCCACAATGGTTTTGTTTTCTGCAATCATTAGATTGAGGGTCTGTGGATTAGTCAGGAAGTTGTCGACATCTATGAGCTAGGAAAACAAAAGATAGTGTCGGGTGAAAAAGTACTTTTCTGTATTGGGTTCAAGACTAACCCAGCACTTCTGAAGGATCACAGAAACTTGCCCATGAGACATGGAACCAGTTATTTATGTTCTCCTTATTGGAACTTGCTGAAGCCAGATGGCATTCATTTGGGCAAAATACATTTAGACTCACTTCCACATGTCTAGCTCTGCATAAGGCACCAAGCAATAAATCGATGTTACCATACTGGGTACACACTCAACCAGCACCCAAGCCACACCTTGGTTAGTGGTTATTAACCACTAACAGCTCCCAAGAGCTCTTAAAGAGTCATCCAAAAACACTCATTGAGTGCCCAGCCTAGGTACAAACGAACAGACTTATTTAGGTTGTCCATAGTAATGCCAAAATGGCCCAAAACAGATCTATCAATGCCATTTTAATGTTACAAGTAGAATTTTTGTTGAATGTACATTATATCAACCCATGAAGCTTATCCCTCTCTTAGCAGAAGTCCATGTTAACACTGATTCAGGTATAGGGATAGTTTAACAATAGATTGTATTATATAAAATAAATAATCTCACTGAACTGTACACTTAAAAAAATTAAAATGGTAGGTTTTATGTTATGTATATTTTACCACACACACATAAATAATCAGAAGCTTTCATTCTTATGATAGTCAATCTGTTTACCCAAAAATTTGGGACTCAGTATTTGTATGCTTCAATGACATTTAAACAGCTTTATCATGTTAAATATCATCAACTTGAAAATGTATATGAAATTATTTGTATTGGACAGGTGCATGAGATAAATTATTGGGTTGATTTTTGTCGTGGTTATGGGCTGGGGATGGCCATAGGTCAAAAGTATTCCTTTTAGGAATCAGAGTTTAGTGACGGAGAGCAGATATTGACAAGTCTAATGAAACCATATTGTCTTTGCTTTATTGGTATTATTTCTAGGATTGTACTGGAAAATGCCCACCAAAAGAATTAAATGGATTTTGGGGGCTACAGATGGAGAACTTCATTCCCATAAACTTGCAAAGAAAAAAAGCGCCTGTCAACTTTCAGAAGGGAAATGCGGACTATAGCAACTTGCTGCCTAGGAAGCTGTCCTCCTTTCCAATTAAGGTAGGTTCCTGGAGGACAAGGACAGAAGATAACACTGGTTCCTAGCCATTGAGTCCAGCATTTTTCTGGACCATTCTGAAAGTTCTAAGAAAAGTGATGGAACCTCTCCACAGAGAGAAATTCTCCATGAGAACCTAGCATAATTAGGAGCCATCAAGAAGCCAAGCAAGAGATGCCATTCCCCTGCCAGGGCTGCAAGGTCTCAACTGTTCCTTTAACTGGGCCATTTCTCAGGGTTGTTTGTGAAGCTGGTAACCTTGAAAGATGAGGTAACATATTTTCCAGAGAAAGAGCAGGTATGCTGACTGCTTGCTATAAAGGCAGTAAGTTCCCTGAGCTCTGGGTTCCTCAGCTGTGATACAAAACCGCTGGATACAGAGCATCCATCTCAGCCCATGACATCACCTGTGTGAGAAGTGGGGGTCAGGGGAAGTGCCACAAGCATGCTGGTAGACATGCTATTTACTGTAAGTAATAATCCATTGTCTCTTAAAAAACGAGGGATGACAGTCCCCCAGATCACTGAGGAACAAAAGGGAATGGAGTTTCAGAGCTGTTAATTTGAATCCTTTTTTATATAATTATTTTCTTATATCTGAAAAAAATTTCTAAAGAGTTATTAAGAATCTTCCCTAATAAATCTTTAAAAAAAGGGGGCGTGCGCCTGGGTGGCTCAGTCAGCTAAGCCTCTGACTCTTGGTTTTGGCTCAGGTCATGATCTCATGGGTTGTGAGACTGAGCCCCTCATTGGGTTCCATGCTCAGTGGGGAGTCTGCTTGAAGATTCTCTCCCTTTGCCCCCCCTTTCTCTAAAATAAATGAATAAATCTTTAAAAAAACAAAAAAGAAACTTCCCGTGCATTCCCTATGAACTGAAAGGATTCAGATTTCTTATCCCTATTACATGAAAGAGATCAAATAATCCAGGAGTTTATTCACTTGCTCACTGAAAATGCATGTCAAGAGTGGCTTGAGATGAAATCCAGGTACCCCAATATTAAGTTCCCCAAGTTTTTCCTTGTGTGTTTATTAAAAAGTAGAGGAGAGGCTCCTTGGTGGCTCAGTCATTAAGTCTCCAACTGTTTTTTTGTTTTTGTTTTTGTTTTTGTTTTTGTTTTTTTTGAAGACTCCAACTCTTGATCTCAGCTCAGGTCTTGACAGGTGTTGATCTCAGGGTCGTGAGTTCAAGCCCCACATAGAAAAAGTGGTGGGGGAGTTGGTTCTCAAACAAAAGGGTTTTTTAATAGCTCCCACAGTCTTAAGTTTTGGACAGTTGATTTGGACACATTCTAGATAACAGTTGTCAAGAAATCAAACATCTTTTTTTTACCAGAATATAGTCTGACCATTTTTCCCTCGCAGTTCGAAGGGCCGCCTGCCGTAGTTTCATCACATGGGCAAAACGGGAGCCTGGCCAATGCTTTGGTCCAATTTCATCAGGGTAAGATCTAAAATAATAATAATAGTAATAATAACAATAATAGCTTATAATTATTGAGTGCCTATATATTCCAGGCTCTGTCCTAAATGTTTATATGCACTAACTCATTTCAACTTCCAACAATCCTAGGGCGTGGGTACTATTATTGTTATCATCTTCCTCATATTACAGATAAGGAAGCAGAGATTAAGTAACGTGGCTTACAGTACACAAGAATCCTTAAATGAAATATTTCAGTGGCTTCTAAGAAGAACCTATGGAGTCCTTACAAGGTTAATATTCTCCATTTCACAGATGAGGAAATTGGTGCAGAGTGGTTAAGTCATTTGCCTAATGCTACACGTTAATAAGCAGCACAGTTAGAATTTAAATCCCCAAAGCTCATGTTCCTAAGCACTTTTTAATATATTCTGCCATCAGGGGCGCCTGGGTGGCTCAGTTGGTTAAGCGACTGCCTTCGGCTCAGATCATGATCCTGGAGTCCCAGGATCGAGTCCCGCTTCGGGCTCCCTGCTCAGTGGGGAGTCTGCTTCTCCCTCTGACTTTCCCCCCTCTCCTGCTCTCTCTCTCATTCTCTCTCTCAAATAAATAAATAAAACCTTTAAAAAATATATTCTGCCATCAAATAAATTTAAAAATTTTGCAGCATAAAAATATGAGTTTCCCAGGAAAAAAACCAAAGGTTAAATTCACTTGATCAAGTATCAGTAAAGGATTCCACAGAGCCTAACACACTAATTTATCCCAGGTAGAGTGGGATCATGGAGTGGATGCATAATGTCATTGGAATCTCTATCAACATCTACGAAACAGCCAGGGCCGGACTCTCACATGGCAACATTAGCAAGTGGGTTGGCATACCCTCGAGAACCCTTCTGAAAGCTTCCAGCTGGTGTGGGTGTTGATACTGTCTCAGGAGCCATCATTTCAAATTCTTCTAGCTGTGTTAACAGTACCTATATATACTTGTATAATTATGAAAATATAATTATATAAATAAGATTAATAAAACTATGTCCTGAACAGGGGCTCTCTAAGATGTCTTTCTAATTATTGCTTCAGTGAAAATCAGTGGAGTCCTGTTTTTCTCAATATATTGCCCCCAAAATGCCTTCACTAATATTTTTCACACTGACCTTGGCATATAATATATTTAGTCAAGATCTGGGCACAGAGAAAATTACCAGGATACAAGGTAGGTACATAATCTTTTTGACTGTTCTAGTTAGGCCCAATTCCATTATAAGAGACTCCAAAAAAAGCATTCAAAATCTTTTATAGTGTTCAAATTTCATTGTTAAATTTTGCTTGATATATGGACCATATGCTGGGATTTGAAATATATATGTATATACATATATAACAAAACTATTATATATAAAGAGACTAAAAAAATCTGTTCTGGAATGGCATTTATTATTATTATTATACAAATTTGGCTTTCAACAAATGATTTATCCTGGGCAAAAATTCAGGCAACTCAATTTATTCTACTTCTACAATTTCTTAAGCTAGAATTGCAATAGCCTTGGGAACATTTACAATAGTCCATTTTAAATACACTTATTCATGTTGTCATTTGCTCATTTGTTCATGCAACAAGTATTAATTTAGTGCCTGCCAAGAACATAGCACTGGGGGAAAATATGAAGTATTTGTATACTGTAACCTCTGCCAAAGAACCCAAAAATCACTTCGAAGAAACGCATAAATTACACAGTTAATTAACAAAGTTATTTACGTGTATTGCTATGTCAAAAAGGATGATGTAGGAAATAAGCAATACAAGTGTTGCGAGAAAGGTAGATCTTTGGAGCTTGAATGATTAGGAACAGCTTTCTGTAGTAGGTGGGGTTTGGCATATGAGCTGGTTACAAAGACAGAAAGGGCCTTCCTGGAGAACAAACCTGCATGGGTAACAGCTTGGGGTTGAAAGTAAAAGGTACATTCTAGACAAAGCAGTTTTCTTTTGGGAAGAAGCAAGAGATATGGGTGCATACCTGCTGGTGTTAAGTTCATGGAATTTTTAAAAAGTGTTTAAGTCTGAATTATTTGAACTTTGTTCTGTGGGTACTGGAGAGTCACTGGAGTCCTTTTAACAGAGAAATTAAACCATGTCATTAGCATTTTAGGTAAGTTGATTTGACAGTATGGTATGTAGGATGATCTTGAAGATGGAAGTAACTAAGAAATTGCTATGGTTAAGAGAAGAAGTAACCTAAATGCCCATCAGTAGGGAATTGACTACTCATTATGATTATGGTACATCCATATAATGGATACTATGCAGTCATAGAAATAATGAAGAAACCCCTTAACTATTGCTATGGAATGATGATAAAAATACGATAAGTAAAATAGCATAGTATATATAAAAAGTATGCAAACTTTTCACTATGCTCCACCAAATATGAAAGACTTATACTCAAAATATGAATAAATAATATCAATATTTTTAAATATATACTGTGGCAATTTATTTGTTATTTATTGACTTGGCTGGTGGCTGCCGGAGTAAAGAGGAAGAGAGGCAGTTACAAGGCAGGTCCTTATAACTTACTAGATACAGAGATAACCAAGAAGTCATATGGGCCTCCAAGATTAGACACCTGAATGGCTGGAAAACTGTTTAAGGGAAGGGGGATAAATGAAGTTCACAAAATGTTGTCTTACTACTCACTCTGGTTCATCCATAGGCCTCCACTCGACATAGTGATAGAATCTCTGTACATTTTTCAACCACTCCCTGAGTATTTCTGTTGTATTATCCACATTGTGATCAGTGGCTGCCCTGCATGAGAGAAAGTACAATATAGCTCAGTTGCCATCCAAAGAAAGAGGGAGACATCCCAAAGACCCCAGATTAATTGAAAGGAGAATGGCCAGTTCTGAGAAGAAAAAAAAAATGTACATATGAAAATGAATCCCTCATGGTCCAAACTAGACAACAGATTCCTGAAGTGAGAGATACTGCTTAAAATCATTTTTGTGTCATTAGATCCTTAAAACAGGGCTCAGCCAATAGCAGATTCAATAAGTGGTTGTACTAAAACTGTATAAGCAGAAAATGAATTAAGAGTAAGCTAACTAATCTTTTTTTGGAAATTTTTCTATTTGGCTTAATATTTAGTTATCCAAAATGTAAACTCTGCCTTTTAACTTCCCTGACAACTACCATCAATTTAAGCAATAATTCAGTTGCATTTTCCTTTCAAGTTTCTTTTCAGATCACAACAAAATTGCTAATCAGTGGTACTGTCATCACACACACTCCAGGGGGAAAGCAACAGTTTCCAATATAAAACTCAAAAAGCTAAGTTATCTTTACCTATTTTGGATTAATGTTACCATTACTTATACAAACTAGAGTACCTTCAAAAGTCTTCAAATAATGTATACAAAACTGGTTTCTACTGTAAAAGTTTAACAGATTGATCTACTTATAAAGGAGCTTAACTCACTTATTAGAAAATATTTTCAAATTGTATCGCAAAGCAAACTCATGCTGTATATAAGATACATATCTAAAACAAAGTAATTCAGAACACTAAAAATGAAGAGACATATCAGTTAATTGGGAAAGAGAAAGAAAGCAAGAGTTATAATCCTGACATCAAATAAGGTAGAATTGTGGCCATGACAAAGAGCAATACTTTATAATGCTAAAGGACACAATTCACATCAAAGACACAATAAATGTTAACATTTCACATACCTTCATATAGTACAGGCGTTGGCAAACTTTAAGAGCAAGACAGTAAATATTTCAGGCTTGCAGGCCATACCCTCTCTGTTGCAACTACTTAACTCAGCCTTTGTAGCAGGAACACAGCCACAAACAATATGTAAATAAATGTGCATTGCTGTATCCCAATAAAGCTTTATGTATAAGAATAAGCAATAGATCTACAGGCTGCAGTTTGTCAACCCTTGATATAATGGAAAGGATGGAAATTGCAAGGAAAAACAGAAACACCAATAATAAGAGATGTTAGCATACCACTTTTTAAAATATTTTATTTTTTTAATTAATTAATTTATTTATTCATGAGAGACAGAGAGAGAAGAGGCCAAGGGAGAAGCAGGCTCCCAAGGAGCAGGGAACCCGATGCAGAACTCGATCCCAGGACCCTGGGATCATGACCTGAGCCGAAGGCAGACGCTTAACCATCTGAGCCACCCAAGAGCCCAAGATTTTATTTTTTAAGTAATCTCTACACCCCATTGGGCTCCAACTTACAACCCCAAGATGAAGAGTCACATACCATACCACTTTCAGTGAAGATGGTGAAATGGGAGGAAGTAAATATACAGAGGATCTGGGTATTAAAGAGGGCACGTACTGAATGGAGCACTGGGTGTTATAAGCAAACAATGAATCATGGAACACTGCATCAAAAACTAATGTTGTAATGTATGGTGATTAACATAACATAAAAAAAAAGAGTTTAAAAAAAAGAACACAGCGAGAAAGGATATGCTTTTTTCTCATGTTCAAGTGGAACCTTCACAACAATTGACCAACAATTATACTACACAGGAAGCCTCCACAAAATTGAAAGAATATAAACAACATTCTGTGATAATAAAGCAATAAAACTAGAAATTGGTAATAAAATAAAAAAACAAAAAATTCCAGTAAGAATTCTCTATTAAACAACTATTGAGTGAAAGAAGAAATACAAATCAATTTCAGAAATTCTAAAAATAAATCGTGGAAACACTATGTGTCAGAATTTTTAGATACAATTAAAGCAATGATCACAGAAAAATTCAGTTTTATACCCTTCAATTAATAAAAATAAGTGAGTTAAATTCCTGCTAGGAAGCTAGGAAAAGAGCAACAAAACAAACAAGCATAAAGAAAAAAATAATAAAGGAAGAAAGTCCAGAAGCATAAAACAGAAAAAGGATAGAACTAATAAATTAAAATTTTGCTTTTTAAAAAATTTTTTTATTTTTGTACAACTCTAGTATAATTAACATACAATGTTATATTAGTTTCAGGTGTACGATATTGTGATTCAACCCTACTTTACTCGGTGCTCATTGTGATATGTGTTCTCTTAATCCCCGTCAGCCATTTCACCCATCCTCCCAGCAAATTCCCCTAAAATTTTGCTTTTGTTGAGGAAAACCAACAAAGCAACCATTTATTAATCTATCGAGACAACACAGATATGTAAAATAAGAACTGACAAGGATGCAGGGAATATGATTGGTAGGAAAGAAATTATTTAATTACCTTGCACAACTCAATGAAAAGTAAATTCGAAAACTGGATATAATGGAGGATTTCCTAAGAAGATGCATGTTAGCAAAATTGACTTCAGTAGAGATATAAAACTTAAACAGAATAATTACCAAGAAAGAAATGAAGAAAGAGAAAAAAGAAAATATTAAGCCCAGATGGTTTCACAGGGGAATTCTACCAGATATCTTAATAGACTACATAATTCCAGTGCTATGTAGCTTGTTCTCCAGAGCGTAGGAGAAACAAATGAAAATTCCAAGTTCTTTTAATAATGCAAGTACAATATTAATATCTAAACCTGAAGAAGACACACACACAACTACAGACCAATATCTTTTAATGATATGCTGCAAAAATCCTCAATATAATATTAGCAAACAGAATCCAAAATCCTATTAAGAAAATATTACATAGCATAGACTAGGATTGTTCATTATAAAAGGAAATCCATTAATATAATTCACATATATTAACAGACCTGAAGAAAAATCATATAATTACTTCTGTAAATGCTAAAAAGGCCTTTAATAAAATTCAACATCTATTCCTGATTTTTAAAAACCACACTGAATAAAATTAAAACAGGAAGGAAGAAAGGAAGGGAAGAAGGAAAGAAAGGGACAGTAAACAGAAGAGTCATGGAAAGACAGAGGTGCCTGAGACTCTTAAAAGGGAGTAAAAATGCTTAGAATTTATGAGCAATTTAGCAGTCCCTCCTGGAAGGAGAAGCCAGAGCCATCCTCAACAGTAGTGGTTCCCTGGGAACATGGCCTTGGTAAGAGCAAATGAAGAGATGTGAACAGTGGTTGCTTCTTCCATATATCGGCAATTTCAGTAAATACGATTTTGTTAAATCCAATCTGTGATGGCTTTTGTTCTTCCTATTTGAGCTTTTGGAAGTCACTGCTCTGCCAAAAGTAACAAAATCTTTAAGGAAGAGAATATTAAGAAATGTTCAAGAGAAAAAAATAGTTAAGCAAAGCAGAGTGGAGCCCCATGTTACATAGAGAGTAAATTTCTATAAAACACCAAGTAACTCGAAACTATGTAAATTATGTCATAGCGTATAGAAAAATGGGGGATAAAAGTATAGGCCTAATATTTGAAAATCTTATTTAATAAAATGTATATTTGAACTAAAACTAGCCTTATTGAAAATATTATTCCAAAAAATAGAAGATCAGGATCTGATGCCAATTGCCAATTTGATCTTTCTTCCTTCCTTCCTTCCTTTCTTTCTTTCTTTCTTTCTTTCTTTCTTTCTTTCTTTCTTTCTTTCTTTCTTTCTTTCTAGGATTTATTTATTTATCTTAGAGAGAAAGAGAGAGAGAGAGAGCATGAGTGGGAGGGAGAGAGGGAGAGAGAATCTCAAGCAGACTCCACGCTGAGCAAGGAGCCCAATGCAGGGCTCGATACCGAGCTTGATCTCACGACCCTGAGATCATGACCTGAGCCGAAATCAAGAGTTGGAGACTTAACCAACTGAGTCACCCAGGCGCCCCTTGATCTACTTTCAAGTCTCTTCTGGAAATCAGATTAGAATCAGCTCCTCCCTTCAGAACAAGGTCTAGGAGGGAGGAGACCCACAGGCCCACCAGAAATTCCACTACCTGGAGAGAGAAAGCGGTAATAGTGTGCAGCTGGTGTTGAGGGACACCAGGTGAGCGCCTATGGACAAAAATGGGGTAACATAAGAAGGAAGGAAAGTGGGCCAGAAAGCAATGTGGGAGAGGGCTCCATCTAGCTGTGATTATACTGAGAAATGAAGAATGTTAGTGACAATCACATCCACTGTGACTCATGGCCACCAGCCACCCATGTCCAGCGAAGTAGCCGTGAAGGGCACTTTGAGGGTCAAACCACTCATCTCACTGTAGGAAGCATATATAGAGCAATTCCTGAAACTGAGAATCAGCTCAAATGCCCATGAGTCTTTGCTCAACATATTATGAGCACGAGTAAATTAAAACAAAACAAAATAAAAAATATCTTGATTGCAGTATTAGCTAAAAATTATGGGAATTATACATTATTCCCAAATTACTGTAAAGTGTAGGAGAATTGCCACAGCATCTACTTCTTTCCTTGGTTTCTGGTTCTTCATTACGCAGGACTTACATTCTCTTTGCCCTCCCTGCGTTGATGCCTTTCCGACTTTTAACAAAGTCGGTCTCACTGTATGAAATTTATTTTCCTGCTGTCCAGACTAAACAACTCCAAAGTCTGTTTAAGGATCCACTATTCACAAACATCCTCAGAAATGAGCTGCTTGAGTGTACGCAAAGACAAAGGTGTCTAATTAAAAACAGAAGCACAGATTTAAAATACTCTCCTTATGGAGTGAAAACAGTTTCCTATTCCGTTACTTCCCCAAATTGTTAAGATGCTCTTTGTTCTCAGGCTTCCTGGGAAATGCACAAATCCTCCAGCTGTGGTCGGAGGTCCAGGGACACCGGTGTTTGATGTGCAGCGTCAATCTCCTGCACTGTCCCAGAGGGAGAGCCGTGTTGACCCCACCAGCCCACTGAGGAAGACTT